AAGTTTACCCAGGTTGGGTTTGAACCCACCATTCTCCTGCCTTAGTCTCCCAGAATTCTGGGATTAGAGGATTGTGCCACCATTCCTGGATCAATAGTATCCCTATGAAGACTAACAAAGTCAGGTTACAAAGGAAGTCCTCAAACATTTTCAGTATGTCTCCTTAATTATTTTTCCTACCTATACATATTAAATTAAGACATATAAATGGTAACGGACTCTATCATCAAATTATAGAATTCTCTAAGACTGGAAAAAACTTCTGCTATAATTAATTGAAAAATTTAGACACTATAGAATCCTCCATACTTCATTAATTACACCAACTTACTTTTGAAACATGTTAATAGAATCTCCTTAGCAATGCATTTACTATTAGAACAACTTTGAGAATTAAAATTCTTTCTGCTTTCTGTTCACTAAGCATTAATTTAGTTGGAATCTTTTGGGCATATGAATAAAACTAATCATTCCTTTAAATGATAATCCCCTTTTCTTCAAATATTTGAATATGAAGTGCTAAATTATTTAAATTTTTATTTGAGGTCTATTAATCCTTTATTATCCCATTTACCAGTCTTCTGTTTTTAGAGATATTTCCTTTAGTGGTCACTATCAAACTTATATTAACATATATTTTCAGTACTAAATAGTATCATGCACGCAATATGCAAAAAATATTATAATAGGAACATAGCACAAGATACTTACATTTAACAATCTAAGACATAATAATAGTGTTGTCAACAGGTACTTGTTCATTAAAACAATTTATAGTTTGAAAAAATTCATAAAATTGTTTCATTTTCCTATAGTTATAAGATACAGATGAGGCAAGTCTTTTAATTTTACTCAGCAAACACAGATTTTGACTGGCTCAAATGAGTGACAGATAGTTGTAGACATATTATTCAGGTCTTTTAATACCACAGATCAGGTATTCCTTGTTACAGCTGTCAGTGATTCTTATATTTCTTTTTTTTTTGTCTTTTTCCTTTTTATCAGTACCGGGGATCGAACTCACGACTGCCTGCTTGCAAGGCAGGCGCTTATGCCGCTGAGCTAAATACCCAGCCCCAATTCTTATATTTCTTAATATGTGTGTGTGCACACATGTATGTACCTGCACATGGTGCTAGGGGTAGAACCCAGGGTTTCACGCATGCTAGGCAAGTTCTCTGTTACTAAGCAACATACTTAACTCTCCCCCCTGTTTTTTAATTCCTAAGAAGTAAAGAATAGCTCTCATATGATGACTCTTCATCATTGTAGAAACACATTGAATCATTAAATAACAATGAGAACTAAAGTCTTGATCTTATGAAATGTAGGCAGTAGTTCAGGTTTTCTTCAAATTAGAAAGGTGAAGGATTTGTCACATAATAGGAAAAATGTCACATAATAGGAAAAAACTCAAGAGACGAGATATATACAATCAAAGGCACATATAATTTTCCAAAAAAAGAACAGTTTAAGCCAGGTGTGGTGGTGGGTGTTGTTATTCCAGCACTCAGGAGGCTGAGGCAGGAGTATCATCATGAGTTTGGGGCCAGCCTGGGCTACTTGTGAGTGCAAGGCCAGCTTGAACTGCACAATGAGACCTTGTCTCAAAAAACACTTAACCCCCACCCAGGAACACACAATATTGTTTTTCAATAAAATTTGAGAAAACTAAGATTTAGGAGCATGCTGTTGATGTGAAAAACCAGAATTATATGAGTTACAGTAAGAGACTAAGAAAATTTAGCTCTGATGGAAGACAATTTTACAATCTCTTGTTTAAAGAAACAGTAACAGCAATAACCTTACCTGAACAAGGGAGTCTTCCTCTTTACAAAAACCAGACCCTTCCTGTATCAGAAGAGGCTCACTTTTCTCACAGCCCTCCTGGCTGATGAGTGTGTGGGCATAGTTGGGCTGTGGGAAGATCAGGTGGCTCTTCCTTGAGTCTGAGGTAAGGGAGACCTCATGAGAATAGGTCTGCAGGAAGGCCTGTACACCATCCATGCCCACAAAATGTGAGATGGGCACATTGGACAAACCTCCCTTCGGAGACTTCATCAAGTCTGATTTGTGCCAGTGCTTAAATCTGAGCACCAGCAGCACCATAACAAAGGTGAAGAAGATGCAGGAAACAGTGACCACTGCCACCACCAGGTAGAATGTGAGGCCTGAGGCATCGGAGTCATGTTGGGGCTCCAAACTGCTCAAGTCAGCCAGAACATCTGGGATGCTGTCGGCCACCACCACAGTGATTGTGACAGTGACTGAGAGAGGGGGCTGACCATGGTCCTGCACAGCTACCACAAGGCTCTGCTTTAGTGTGTCTCTGTCCAGCAAAGCTCTTGCTGTGCGCACCTCACCTGTATGCAGTCCCACTGAGAAAAGCCCTGGTTCATTAGCCTTGAGCAGACGATAGGAGAGCCAGGCATTCTGACCCGAGTCTCTATCTACTGCCACCACCTTGGTCACAAGGTATCCAGGTTCAGCAGAGCGGGGTGCTAGCTCCACCCCAGTAGAGCCATCTGTGGGGACAGTGGGGTACAGGATCTCAGGTGTATTGTCATTCTGGTCCAGCACAAATAGGCTCAGCGACACATTGCTGCTGAGTGGTGGGTTCCCACTATCTCTGGCAGTCACCAGTAACTGCAGGTCTCTAAACTGCTCATAGTCAAAGGAGCGAAGTGCATACAAGACACCAGTGTTGGAGTTAATAGAGAGGTAGGAGGACAAAGGTACACCCTGGAGAGTGTCCTCAGCCAGGAAGTAGGTGATTTGGGCATTTTCCTCACTGTCAATGTCTACTGCATTGACGGAGAAGATGGAAGCGCCTCTGGGGTTGTTCTCAGGGACATAAACAGAATAGGATGAGTGGGAGAAAACAGGTGGGTTGTCATTAGTGTCTGCCACACTGACAGAGATGAGTTTTTCTGTGGACAAAGGTGGTGTTCCTTTGTCTGTGGCTGTCACAGTGATGTTGTACAAGGACACTTGTTCCCGATCTAAAGCTGCATTTGTCATTAATCGATAATAATTGTCCACTGATTTCTCCAATTCGAATGGGAGACTTTTTGAGATAGAACACATCACCATGCCATTCAGTCCAGAGTCTCGATCATACACTTGCAAAAGAGCAATTACTGTTCCTGGAGGAGCATTTTCAGCAATTGTTCTGCTTCCAGGTGTAACGACCACTTCTGGTACATTATCATTCATATCCAAGATGGTTATTAGGACTTTTGCTCTGTCTTGAAGACCTGGCCCATCTCGTGCTTCCACATCCAACTTATAAAAGCTGTAGTTTTCATAGTCTAGAGTGGCAGAAGTTGAAATTTCTCCAGTCAAAGCATTCAAGCAGAATATCTGTGAGATCCTTTCTGTGGTCTTCACAAAGGAATATGTTATTTCTGCATGCACTCCTTCATCCAGGTCAGTGGCATTTACAGACAACACTGGTGTACCTACTGGCAGGTTTTCAGGAACAGTGACACGGTACACGGGCTGAGTAAACACTGGAGCATTGTCATTCGCATCTAGAACAGTAACCACAATTCGAGCTACACCTGAGCGGACAGGGTCACCACCATCCATGGCAGTAAGGACCAGATTGTGAATGGCTTCTTCCTCCCGATCCAGGGTGTGCTCCAGTATGAGCTCTGGGTACATGGTCCCATGCGCTTGGCTTTGCACATCCACTGAGAAGTGCCTGTTACTGCTAAGTTTTAAGCCCTGAAGAGAGTTAACGCCAACATCAGGGTCATAGACCTCCATTAGTAGAAAACGAGAGGCTAGAGCTGCGTTTTCAGTAATTTTCACTTCCAATTCTTCCCTTAAGAATCGGGGTGCATTGTCATTAATGTCCACGATTTCCACTTCTACAGGATAAAGCTTCATTTCATCCTCCACAAGGAGGTTAAAGTTCACCAGGCACCGCGCGCTCTGGGCGCACAGCTCCTCCCGGTCTATCCTGCCCGCGGTCACCAAGCTGCCGCTGCGCGGGTTCAGAGAGAAAAGCTGCGTCCTACCTCGGGAGACGATGCGGACTCCGCGCTCAGCCATCTCCTGGGGTTGTAGCTCCAAGTCCTTGGCGATGTTGCCCACGAAAGAACCCTTCTCCAGCTCCTCCGGAATAGAGTAACGGATCTGCTCAGTCCCACCCCAAGCCCCCCACAGCGACTGCAGAAGAACTAAGAGCAGCAGCAGCCCGCAGCGCTGCAGGCGCCTCTGCAGAGCCGCCATGACTGTTTTATTGTGGGTTTCCTGGGGGTTAAGAGTAAAAAGAACAGGTCCGCCCCACGTTGTGCTCATCAGAATTAGAAGTCAGGGTTCCTAAATAAGCAAAGACCAGTTATGAATCATTTCAGGTCAGAATTTCTGCTAAGTATTGGTGTCTGACCTGCTCTGTGATTGGAGGATGCAAGTTCCCATGATTTTTGTGCCCGGGGTTAGTGAATAGCGACACTTAGAGTCCTGATTTAGTACTGCACTAGCTTAAAACTATCATACGGAGGACTTTATTTCTGTTAAATGCAAAAATGACATTCATAGTTCTCTTCCCAAGATAGTGAAACAATTAGAAGAATAAAAGATTTGATCTCAAATAATTTTAAATGTTCCCTGAAACTTGCCACTTATTTTGGAGAAAATTTGAAGTATGGGAGAGCTGAAATACTAGTTTTTTGTAAGTCTTGAATTGTTACCCCCTATCAATTACATTTGCCTCATTTTTAATAAGGGGACTAACAATCACAAAACATTTTTGACCCAGTATACTACAGTGTCAGTTATAGGTTGCCATTTTTATTTTACTTATTTTTATCAGTACTGGCAATCAAACTCATGATTGCGTCCTTGCAAGGCAGGCGCTTATGCTGCTGAGCTAAATCCCCAGCTCCAGGTTGCCATTTTTAGAAGCCACTATTTTTATTAACACATTAAGAACTGTCCTCACATAGGTAACATTTGTGTACACTTAAAAATATGCGAAGGAAGCACAAATATACAGGCTAATGTTTAATGTTTATTATATATTGTATATAATATATTTTGGGATGGATTGCACTGAAAGGCAGTAAATCTTTTAACTGTATATAGTAGCATTTAATTGAAGATAGATATCTCAATGACAGTGAGATACTACTGCATAAAAGATGTTTCTGATTGTCTTGTTTTAGGACTGACAAAGATTTCAAGAAGAAAAGTTTTTTTTTCTTTTTCACAAGGAGACTTCCCATAAAAGAACAACTGTAATAGTTGTTTACAAATGACTTCCCAGGCCTATTCTCTGTCTCCAGAAAAAAAATTCATACTGTAAAAAACAATGAAATAAAGACACATTTTATCTCTATACCTTTTAACTGTAAGTTAATTGAGAATTAATTATATTTATGGAGGAAAGATGTAAAGAAATGCACCTGCTGAAAGTTCATTGAGTAAGAGGTAATGTTTGGAATGTCATTACTGTCACTTTCAAGCCAAGAACCTGTATTGTATAGAAGAGCTTGTGGTTGAGCATCTGTGGGCATTATATTGAAGAATATAAACCGACTCTTTGAGGAAGGTGATGCAGATTGTAGGAATAAGGCTAAGTTCCTTTTCAGGAATTAGTGAGAAACACAGGCACAGGCCTGGAGCACAGACCAGGCTGAACGCAGTCCCTAAGCGTGGGGTTGGAGGCGGGTGGAAGGCACGGCAATACAGCCAAAGCCAGAACAAACAGGAACAAAGCAGAGACTGAGGACAAGGCCACTACTGCAGATCAGCCTGTGGTAATGAACTCCGCGGAGTGGTGGCCAAAAGTTGGATAGAACCTCTTACAAGCTATCAGCAAAGATCAGGTGCTGCGTGGCACGGCGGTGGCTCAAAGAGGAGGCTGACCTCCATCTTGCACTGCGACCAACAGGTGGTGGCACCCACATCCCTGTCGCTCAAAGCACACACCGTATGCACTTCGCTTGCACAGTCTCAGGTTGAAAAGTCCTGGATCACTGGCCTGTAACACGTGGTAGGACAGCCAGGCACTGTGCCCCGAGTCAGCGTCCACCGCCACCACCTTGTGACCAGGTAGCCGGGCTCCGCGGCGCGCGGCACCGTGTCGAAGAGCGCCGAGCCGTCGGGCGCCAGCGCGGGGTACAGCACGCGCGGCGCGTTGTCGTTGAGGTCTCCCACCAGCACGCGCAGGCTCACGTTGGCGCTGAGCGCGGGCGAGCGGTGGTCGCGGGCCTGCAGCGTGAACTGGAAGGCGCGCTGCGCGACCACCACTCCACTCTGTGCGCTCACGGACACGTAGGACAGAGCGTTCTAGGTTCCAGGTTGCTCGCCACGATGGCCACCATGGAATAGAAGACCTTGCCGTTGGGTCCCAAATCAGGGCCCCAAGCACTGACTTGAGCGATGGAGAGCCTGGGAAGGTTGTTCTTGGAGTTAGGGACCTCATAGACTGCTCCGTGGGAAACACAAGCGTTGTCATCGACATCAGCGATGTAAAATGTGACATTGATGCAGGAGGAGTGGGACAGATTGCCTTTGTCGGTTCTATGACGTTACATTCTGCGACCTGTGCTGAGTCCAGCGACCCATCACACCAGCCTATATGTGTGTTTTGTGTCTTGAGCTATTTTAAATGGGACTTCCGTTTTAGTTGACCTAAAATTTCCCCATTAAATCCAGAATCTAGATCATATGTTTTGATCAGAGCAACAGTGGTCCCAACTCAGCACTTCTGGTACAAACTGGAATTCAGAAGCCAGGATAATCTCTAAGGGCATTGGTGTTTTCATCTAAGATAGCTAGCTGTATTGTACAATGTGCAGTGTGACTTTCACCTTGGGCTTCCACACTAGTTGTGTAGCTCGCTCTTTCTTCAAAGTCCCACTTGTCATCAGCGGTGAGTTCCCCTGTTTTACTTTCCAGTTTGAACAGCTGTCTCACTGCGTCACCAGTCCTGATGAAGAAGTAGGTGATCTGGGCACTGACCCCCTCATCTGGACCATGGATGATCACTCGGAGCACCGAGGAGGGTATAGGCAGACTTTCTGGAACACTGATCCTGTACAAATCCTGGGCGAACACTGGTGATTTATCACTTAACTATACAAAGATCATTTTGAATAGGTAGTGCAGCTTCTAGCCAGTTCATCCCTGCCCACAGCTGTGGGGACAAGCTGGTGGCTGGACTGCTCTTCTCTGTCCAGGAGGACCTTCAATACCAGATCTGCATAACTACTGCTACCCAGTTTCTTCTACTGAAGCAAAGAGAAACGTGAGTCAGGGCTGAGGTATTACTGCTGCTGTGTATTGGTATCAGTATGTTTCATGGGCTCCAGGGCAAAGGTGATTCCACTTAGTGCCATTCGCTGATTTCCATCTCAGTAATATTTCTGCTAAAGGTCGGTGGGTTGTCTTTGATGTTTTTGATAGCAAAGATTCATGAAAAAAGCTAATGGCTCGGGGAATGCTGGGAAAACCGTTGTTGCCTAAATGAGGACTGTCTGATAGGATATAAGACTCTTGTGCTCTTGTTTCTAGGAGGATCTTCAATCAGGAAATATTTTTCTTCTTCCTTTCACTGTTTCTATGTCCCTGTTCTAATATAAAGCCTGAGCATTTCTTCTTTTGTGTTAGCAAATAATTTTATTTAGTTGAATTTTTTGCTCACATTTCTGGCATTAGAAATGATAGCACCAGTTTAGCCATTTTTTATGAAGTGGAAATTTGCGTGTAACTGCTGCGGTGGAAAATGTGTCTAGAAGAATGAATTTGAAAGTTGGCACAGGATTACAACACACTGTCTGGTCACAGGAGGCTGTATTCTAACCTGGTGTTAAATCATGCTTCTGCCTGTGCCCCTTTATTCGCAAGGTCATTTTCACACATTGTGAAGTTTATGGTCACACACAGCTGGAAAGAAAAGGAAATGTGTAGGTACCAGATGAAGAATCTCAAAGGATCTTGACAGGCTGAAACAATGGATTCAAACTGGGACAAGATTTCAAATTGCCTTTACTTCCTTCTAAAAAGGCAATTGACAGGTACACAGTTGGAGAGAAGAGGCTTCTCAGCAGCCTTTTCAGAGGCCCCACCCAGTACATGATGTGGAAGGAAATGCAGTTCACTCTCTCTCCAGGTATCAGTGGGTTGGAACTGTTGGTGCCCAGGGCTGGTCATCGGTGGGACCTCTTCCGGCCCGGATTAGCTCTTCAGAGGTGACATGGGGGGAGTCTTTTCAGCAGTCATTTTAAATTCCAAAATACATGTTGACTTCTTGCCACAAATCTGCTCCCATCTCATTCTCGGTGTTCACATTACAAATTTTTTTTTTTTTTTGCACTAACTCGAAAGTTCTGAATAAGTAAATCTCCCACACGGAGCCCCAAATCCTTGGCAAGGTTTCCCACCACCAAATCCTTGGCCAGTTCTTCAGGAGTGATGCAATGGATCTACTCCACAGGCGCTTAGCAGAACAAAGACAGCAGGAAGAGAGAGGGCACTCCGATTAGTCCTGCCTGGTCCTTGATCTGGCCCGGTTTCCCATCTCCCTGTCTTCTGATTTGGAGAAGAGGAGATCTAAAGAGTTCTCTCAGCAGGAGCCAGCCCTTGCCTTTTCTGCGTGGTGGAAGGGGTTGGGAGGGCGTTTTCTAAGGATAACTCCGCAGCAGCAGACAGCTGAAGACAGCAGAGAGTGAGTGTCCTGTTTCCCATTCATCATCTGCTAATTCCACTGAGTAGGGAAGAGCTCAGTGGTAACCAACAGCAGCGCCCCCGCGCCTCGGCTGCAGAACTGCAGTAGTTGTGACTAAATTCTAAAGAGCTAACTGGAAGAAAATGCTACCATCTGCTGATACTGAAACACATCTTCCCATTGCAGAAGGCTTTTTTTTTTTTTTTTGGATACTGGAGAGCAAACTCATGACCTTGTGCTTGCCAGGCAGGCACTTATACTGCTGAGCCAAATCCTGGGCCCCTTCACAAGGATTTTTAACATTTGGAATATTTTCTTTATCTTCAGCCTCACTGTCATTTTTTTGTACTTGAAATTTATTTACCCAATTTGAGTTTTTTATGCAACAGAAAGCAGAGCTATAATCTTGCTCAAAATGTTTATTGACCTAAATTGGGGCTCTTAGTTTTCATTTTCATAAAGTTGTCATAATAACATCATCTCTGTTTACCTTAGTAAAAATAAGAACTGGATAAAATAATACAGAGAAAAGCAGCCAGGTATGGTGATATGCGCCTGTAATCCTAGCACATGGGAGGCTGAGGCAGGAGGATCATTGTGAGTCTGAGGCCTGCCTGGGCTGCAAAGTGGGTTCAAAACCAGCTTGAACTGCATAGTGAAACCCTGTCTCAAAATGACAAAAATAAGTAAACAAGAAGAATAAGAATAAGAAGAAAAGCATACATATGAAAGTGTTGGTGATGGCATATGCTAGTATAAAATTTTTTGAAACATCAGCTTAATGTGTATTGCTATTTATCTTTATTTACTTTTCTCCTAATTTGTAAAAGCTATAAATCTCAAGGCTGTTCATTTTATCAGATGTTTCATTTTCTGTACATGTCTTCCCCCAAAAGCAAGGAAGACTGACCTTATAAAGTAGAAGTATAGTGAGAAGCAAGATACGTTCTTCCTTAGCTTACTAATGTCATTTAAATTAAATGAGTACGACTGAAAAATTATTTCAAAAGTGAATTTTTCAACAATACATTACCATTGTCCTCAACTGTACTGTTTCTTCCCAAGTAAGATAACAAAAGTGAGTTATCTAAATTTGAGGGTGAAGTATGAGTTCTTACATGTTCCAAAGAAAGGAATTTATGTTGTCTAATTTTCTTGGTCCCTAAGTTACTACATGATCATCCTCAACATTTTTTATGGACTCTCTTCCTTTGTCAATAAGCACACCAATTTTCATGCCTCTGACAAGTGTCTTACAATTTTAAACCATTTCCTAACTGGAAGATCTCCACAAATGAAATATTTTTAGATTACATAATTTATTGTTATTCTAAAACTTGGTATGGATATAGAAACATGGATTCACTTTGTATTGGAAATGTATTGGCATATCTTGAACTGTTCATTGTATTCAGGGTTCTAGACAGCTATACACTGGCATCGTTATATAAACATAAAAACATTATTAACTGAAGACTAGCATACACAAGCAAAGAACATATCTACTAATATATGAAGATTTAAATTACTACAAGAAAGTTACCTTCTCACATCACATATGAAACCAAAGATTCATGGTTTAAAAGTATATAATACGTACAAATATATGTATATATCAAGGTTATGTGAGGAAGCACTTTATAATGTAAAGCTCAGAGTAGTTTGTAGAGGTTTAAAAGATATTTTTCCATTGCCCAAAAAATTAACTCAGGACACATACTCAAAATTATAATCTTTTCTTTAAAAAATACTGGAGAAGTGTTTTTACATAGGAATGAAAGACGTCAACATCTACCATACAGCCTCTTGTTACTATTTGGATGTATCAGCTATTCAGTTAATCTGCACATTTTGCAACAAATCCAGACTATCCCACATACACATATAATTTGATGTCCTTTAAATAAATATTTAAAAATAAAAATCAAGTAGTCCTGGTTTCTGTATGTGTCATTGAAACTTCCACGTGATTAACATACTCTATAATTTCACTAATCATATTTCATTGTCATTTCCTCCTAGTTATAACTTGTAGATGCTTTTCAGAGCATTGAAGGCACAAAATAGGAAAGATTGAAAATCTTTTAATGAGAAACATCTGAAAATCAACTTCACCAAACCAGATGCAGAAAATGAATCAAGTAGATGTTTCCTTACACAATCCATGCTCCTGGAATTTGAGATTCATAGACCAACATTTCATTAAAATAAGTCTGCCACTGAAGATGAACACATCCCTAAAAAGTGAATGATAAAATTTCAAGCCACTCTTAAAGTGCACTGAGTTTTCAGGCACAAGTCTTAGACTCCGTAATGAAGCATAACTGTACCAGCACTTTCAGAAATGCAAACATTTTAGTAGATATTGACCTGATAACTGAAGGAGCTACATGTAAACCAGCAGATGCCAAGTATTGGACATGTTTATATTTGTCAAGTGTAGCAGTATCTAACTCTTTGGAGACTTTCACCTACATCACAGAATAAAGCACAATTCTAAGGTTCCCTTTGAATCATTTTTTCACTTCACAAACACACATCCATGAATTGCATGAGTTAACCGAACGTTCCCAGAGTTTGAAATGTTACCAATATTACCATTATAAATTTAATCTATTTCTGATATTCACTGTGCAGAAGTTTCCTGTACTCTTCTATTGATTTATGCAAGTACTGTAATGTAATTTTCTTATGTAAGCTTCAGATATACTAAAATACAGATCTTGTACAATATTTTTTCTAAAAAATTCACTAGCAGTGTCTAGGTAAATATGTATTCAAAAAAGAATACGTCTAACCATTCACATTAATAGAACAACTCTTCTATTAGTAGAATAGCTTCCAAATTAGAGCTTCCAAATA